CTTAATTCTTAATGAGCTATTTTGAATTTCAGGCATTACACTAGTGTCTGCACACATCTCATTTTAAGGATTGCTTTTTTTCCCGCCTTCTTAAAAAACAAAGTCTCTATCAATCCTGTGGTCAATTAAAACAACAAAGGGAAAACGACAAGTTCAAAAGAAAAATAATAGCACTGATAAAAGAATGGAGGTCTGAAAACATGCAATCTTTCAGAAAACTAGTGTAAGACTTATGTTCAGCCGAAGAAAATCTTGAAGCTAGATGGTAATTCCAACAGTCAGAAAAGTAATTCTTAAATTACTATTGGTTTTACTGTTTTAGACAAGTATCAAGTAATTACCAAGTTATGAAACCATTCACATACATATTTGTCTTGATAAACTGGGAGGATTTACAGCACAAAACTGTCTCAGAAAAGGAGTTCAGCTGCCTATCTCCAAGGAAGTCACCAATTTGAGACACTCTAAGGTACAGACAATTTAATCTAAACTGGAAAGTAAAAGTAGCAGAAGAGATTAAAACTACTTGCAAATCACTATTCTTATGATCAGCCCTCAACAAAATGATCATCTATTACTTTGAAGAGTTAAAAACTGAAATCAGGTATTAACAAAACCGTAATGCTCATGTACATGACTAACTACACACAGGTTGTCACACAGATTTACAAGTACCAATGGACAAAAAAGGGGAAGAGGTCGCCAAAACAAGTCATCCAGCTCTCCTCAAGTCTTCATGTGTTTGTAAGGATAAAACCAGCATTTATCTTTCTCTCTCTTCAGATAATAGCTATTTTAGGACAAATAATGCCTTTTTTTTTTAACACAAGGTATAACTGTCACTCTTTGGGGCTTCTAGGAGCATGGTAATTTTTTTTTCCACACTTTAAAAATTAGTAAAAGAACAAATCACAAAGTTCAGCACATTTGTTATTCCTTTTAGGATAAAATTCTAGAGATTTCATAAACTGAACAAAAGAAAGCGATTTTCAACTTCTAATGAAAAGAAACTGCATGCACAAAATGGTTTTAGATTACAGAACTCCAGAGCAAGGTTCTTCAGTGCTGTATGCGGCAGGAGATAGCAGTAATACGCTGAAAAGGGGAGCTGCTGACTGTATGCACACAAGGGGAAAAAAACAACTGCAAGAATAATAAAGTACTGGAACAGGTATTGCTATGAGGTTGTTGAATCTCAAGACTCAAGTGGATAAAATCCCAAGTGAGCTGGTCTGAACTGAACGTTGACACTGTGCGCAGCACAAGGTTGGACTAGATGACCTACAGAGATCATTCTCAACTGGAATTATTTTGATTTACTGGGCTACCTGAATGTACCTGTTTTTTCTCCTTTTACTTTGGGACTGAGATTAAGATAAGGATAAAGTACCGTAGCAAAACTCTTTCATCAAAGTGGCAGCATCTGGTTTAAGCACAAGATTAAGATGCATAGCATATTTGTTTTCATCTGTCAGAAGGTGACTGAAGTAGAATTTACAAAAAGTTATTGCAAAGACAAATATTTTCCTCAGTAAACAATTAAAAAAAAGAATTTTGCCATAAACCAAGAGACCTTCCTACAAATATTTCTGAGAGTGTCTTGTTAGGAAAAATTATGCTTTAACAGAAATGAAAGATTGCTGTATAAGAGATTTTGCTACATATCCTACTAAACACCACAAGTGCCAACAAGCTTCTCAGATATACAAAATGGACTTCTGACAATTTTGAATATTTGACTGATCCTTATGCTAGCAATTATTATACAAGGGAAATCAATGAACTGCCTCAAAAAACCATTTTAAATGGTGACTTTCTTATAATAAAGATCCTAAGTTGAAAACAGTTCTCTAAATATGTATTACAAGTTCCATGGCACAGACTGAAAAACTGGAGGGGATAAAAGAAGGGTTTTTTAGTAAGTATAAGATGAAGCAACAACTAGCCAGGTTGCCCCACTGGCCATATCCCAGCACGTTTACTTTGACTTCGTTCATAGAAATCAATTTTTTAAAAAAAAGTCAAAAAAAAGCTTTTTCTCTCTGGGTTCTGATAACATTGACCTTCAGTTAAAACCACAGATCTGTTGTGAGTTTATTTTACAGACAACTAGAACATTATTAGCCTAAATATTGCAATATATGGTACATGGTCATGAAAAAACACACTTTGTGTGCAAGAGCATGTAGAATAGTAAGATCAGTATTTAAAATTACTTGTCCTTCACATGTCCCACTATATTAATGTAGAAATATCCCAGTCCTAAATTGGCCATTAAAGCAGTTCGCATTTAATCTACAGATCTCTATAAGAGATCTTATTTTTATACAAGGATTTTATGTGACTTTATTTTTGTTCATTGGCTTTAAGACATAAAATGACTTTTTTTTTTAACTGATGAGAATTACAGGTATTCTTATCTTGAAACTGCAATCATACATCCAGATACCTACAAGGTATCTGGAACACATGTATGCAGATGAGGCAGTTAACAAAGAACTTAACAAGTTTTCGTTTTTTACCAGTAACAGGGCAAACTGCTTTTTAATGTTTTAGCTAGTCAAGGTGAACTTGAGGTTCCTCACCCGAATTCACTGCAACTTCCTGACACATGACAATAACCCAGTTATTCTTCACTAGTGCAACCATGACAGCTTCAGTGACCACAAGCCACACCAATTTACATGGGCATGGACCTGCCCCGAGGCAGGTTTAAAATCAGCTAATGTGTTATTTTGGACTTTGCTTTCAAATACATCTAATCTCAGTAAAAAAAACCATATTAAAATTCTCTATGCCACACGTTCACTCTATTTTTTTGCCAGATAGACATGCTAGTATAAGGTATAATGAGTAATGAACCTGGACTCATGCAGCTAAAGCCCACCAGTATGGTGGCTACTATACCAGCAAAATTACCTCTGCAAGTGGTTCTTCTTTTGCCGGCACTAACAAACACAGATAATTCCCTGGAATAGGCTTAGCTCGAGCTGTCTAACGTACAAAGAGGCACTGGATGCCATAATAACTTAGACATGCACATGAAACACTCAAACCTGGCCTAAGAAAACCCCTTTAACTTTAATGTAGCTGTTCTTCTCTCGCTTCATCTAAAATCCAAACATATTTTAATGTAAGTGATCTTGCCAACCAGGATCATAAAAGTCATACATTTTCCACATTCTTCCAAATCAAGAAGTCATTTAAAAGTGGTAATCATAATTTGGAGGATTCTTTCTATTTCTAAGATTTAAAGGATGCACTTGCCAGGAACATGACAGATGTTAATGTTTTGTAATGCAAAACCTGAGAATGTAATTTAATCTGACTGTAGCAACTAAAAAACGTGCATGAAAAACAAACATTACAAGACTTCCAGTAATCTCAAGTACTGGCAGCAACGCCCTAACAGCAGCTGTAACTGAGAAAAGTTTAGATGGACAAAAATTTATTCACATTCAAAATAAATATGCTAAAGATTACTTTCTTGAAATGATCAAAGACCTCAAAGATAGACATCTAAGTCAAGCAACAGTGGCAACAAAATTATTTAAAAAAGAAGCACTTAGTTAGCAAGTATGTGACTTACTGGGAGGTTTTTCTTCTTAATGGATTTAATAGTTAATGAGGTCTAAATTAATCACTAGTAATATATTTTGACAAAATAAAAAGAATCTTATTTCAATTTTTCTACTGGAGCGGGAAAATAAGAAAAAGCAAAGGGAAAAAGTTGTAGGAAAAATAAGTCAGGAATAATTAAATATTCTACTGCAACTTTTTTTTTCCCCAGAGTACCTGTATTTTCTTCTACTCTTTATGCAATTTAAAAAGGAACAAAATTGATTCAGATGTCTAATAGCTTCCAAACAAAAAGAAGCTATTAATTTTTCAATTGCCTGTTACATAAACATATTTGCTATAAAAATCAGAATTAAAAAAACCCCAACTGAAAATGCAACTGTAGCTTCAGAACATTCTATTACGAAATTAAGGGAACCCATAGTGTTTAGTAGCTTTAATAGGATCTGCCTCACACGAAATATGATACTATGGCTTTATAGAAGATGTACACTTTTAAAATATTTATAAATTTACATGAACATCATCCATATATACCATGATGCATTTCAATAATTATTCTACAATACAATGGGAGTGCATGCTCAAACAAAACACCTCAGCAGTATTTTAAAGCAGTAAACCACCTAGCCAATTTCTGTACGTTCTGTAGTTTTTCTAATCCACTCTCCCTGTGGTTGAGCAAAATCGAATTGCCTCTCACATTTGCAGACAGCTCTGTGAAGGTGATAATAGAGCTGCTCCCTGCTGTCATGAGGCAGGAAATAGGAAAATGGCATATGGGGCTAGAAAGAAATAAAAAGAGAACTAAACAAGAACAAAAGAGATTTCAACAAAGGACAACTATAACCCAATATGCTTTGCAAGTTAATCTCTTTTCATAATAATTTAACATACTTAATAATTTATCTGCACACTCAAATGCTTGATATCAACTACTCTGTGAAGTTTTATTGCCCAAAACATTTGGAATAGAAATTATACTAAAAACCATCATATGCAACGCCTGTAAATCAATGCCTTCTTAGTACTCATGTTAAGGGGCTGAACCTTTTCCAATCTGTTAGTAACTGATCTTAGATTTTGTAGCTAAAATGTAACATATAAAACAATGTATACTTGGATTATTAGTTGCAAACCTGTTGAGTGACACCTGAATAGCAAAATATTAAGAGAGGATTATGACTGGTTATGTGTACTAACAATATCAAAGACTTCCAGCCTGTTTAAGGACTACTGATGTAAGATAAGGAATAAACTAGAAATGATCTTTTCATTTACAATGAGGTGGGTTTTTTAAAATTTTTATTTTTTTTAATACAGTATAGGCCTCCAAAAATCAAGAAATTACACATATTTACAGTGCTTCTATATTAAATCTTACTGAAGTGCCTTAAAAATAAAAAGCAAGCCTACTATACCTTTCCTTTTACACTCTGAATGGGATCCACCACCACAGCAACAGCTCTTTCTGATAAGGCTTCAAAGCTCTGCTGGGTATTGATATCTACACCAGACAACCAACAGCCAAAGCCAGGATGACTATGATACCAACCAACTACCATCTCAGGTCTGAAACAAAGAGGACATTGAGATTCTTAAAAATATAAACATGTATCACAAGAAGAAATAGGAACGTATCAGGGCATAAATTACAATGAGCTGTGAACAAAACACCATTGGTAATATTTAAATTATTCACCATAGTATGGTGAAAACATGGACATGAATAAATGCGACAAAAGAGGGCTATCATTAAGGGATACACATTAGCAGTGGTAGATCATGCTTTCAGTTTTTCACCCTGTTACCACACCTTCCCTGAACCAGTTTTTACCCTTTCAGCACTTGAGTAAATATCTACTCTTTAACTCCTTGGCATCGAAGGTTGAATTTTCACGGCAGAAAGTCCATTTCAGACATGGACAACGGGAACCAACGGTGGGAAAGGATTAAATATCAATTAAACCAGCAGTAGAACTAGGAACTCAGTCAAAAAGCAATTTGCACTGTTCTGTTCAGCTGCTGAGCCTTTTGCTAACATTAATTTTGAAGTTTTTCCCACAGTAAAAGAATTTGAGCAAGCAGACGACAACTGTTGAGAGGTAGGAGTAAAATAAAAAATTTGTTTAAATACTAGGATCTTTTACAAAATTATTGTCCCTTTCTTTTCATTAAAATTGCTCATGAAAGAGCTACATCTTCCTAATTTTTTAAAATTTTATTTAAAGAGTTAAATAAAAAAAATCAATCTTTTAAGCAGGTACTGTGTAGTAATCACCTACACTAAACTGAGCAGCATTCTAATCTTTCTGTGCGATAATCAAAGCTGTAGGTTTAACAGGAGTGACAGTCTCCTGACAATTGAAATGCAAGAAGGGAACTGAATTACATGCTACTCACCTAATTTCTGGGCCAATTATTTATTTTTAAACATTATGAATAGCCCCTAGACTACTAGTTTTGCAGAAAGCCAGCTGTTTCTTCTAAAAACTACGCAAGGAGTATTTGTTACCGACAGCCCTCTTTGCACTGACTTACCTTCCTGTCTGTTTCAGCATATCCAACATTTTTGCTTGAAATACAGGATCCACTGCTTCCACACTGACACCCTGATTCAAAAGACAGACAAAAATCATAGTAGTTGTACATAAAGCAATATTATCTTTTAACTTGTTACTTTCCACACAAAAAAATATTTATAAGTATCTTTTTAAAAAGGCAACCTGAATATTCCAGTACTACATGACAGAACTCCCTTAAATGCAAAATACAATTTTTAGAAATGTATTTCAATGTGATTTTTAAAATACTGAAAGAAGATTTTGAATTGCTATGTAAGTAATCTCTACAATGAGTAAACATGATTAAATAGGCATAGGAATTTATCTTTTCCTCCTCTGTTTGCTCTGCAAACAGTGGCCTGTTGTTTCTCACAAGTTCAGCTCTACAGGTTTTATTCAAGATTAATACTACATATTGGCTTTATGCAGATTTTCAAATTATGCACAGGTATAGAATTAACTCAGGACAAAAGAATTTGAAAATTTAATTGATGTGCAGCTCTGAATTACAAAGGGATGCCATTGCTTCTTTTAAGAACATTTCATTCTGGTTACACAGTTATGCCCCTTGACTCACCTCTTTAATCTCTTTATAAAATGGATATTCTTACTCAAAATTAAAGTACATAATTTTTTCACATCACAAAAATATCGTTTAAGAGACATGCTACTAAGATCTGTCAAAGAGAGCAAGTTTGAAGCATATCTAGTTTGAAGTGTATCTATAACACCATCACAATCAAGCACATGATATGCTTCTAATCAAACATTTTAAATTTTGAATCCTTCCAATGGCTCACAGTAAATGAGTTCTGAAAGTTATCAATTTATAAATCTTATAAGTCATGTAATACCAATATATTTATACTACATAAGAACATAACATCTGCATATATTGATATACCTACTTAAGTACTAGACTTTGCTAAAAAAAAGTTTCTACTAATTTTTTTTTCATTTACTGAAACCCTTAAATCCATTTGACTTGTTTGAACTATAACTCACAGATTATACCTTCGGATTGCATCAGAGGTAAAGCACAAGAAGCTTTCCAAAAATAAATTTACCATAAGGAAAAAAACAAACAAGCAAACAAAACTATCAAGGTCTAGATGCAAAGAACTCACCGTTCCAGACTGTGGCATTGCAAAAACATCAATCACTCTCACAGTATAATCATCAACAAATTCTCCAAGCATCAGACCCATGACTTCCATAGGGACACCAGCACGACCATGCTTCAACATCTGGAATCAAGACCAAATGACACTATATGTTTAACAGGAGATTCAAGTTTGATTTGAGGTAGTTCTTTCAGCCGTTGTTGATCTATAGTTAATTTGCAACTTGTAGCACATTTGGAAACTGTAATGAACTATAAAATGGTAAAAGCAAAGCCAATAAAGCAGAACTAATTAAAGTAAGTTTCTGAGTGTTCCAATCAGTATTAATTTATTTTTAAAATTAGTCTGACCAGCATCTAGGGAACACAAGTCCATAAACTTTGGACAGCTGCCAGGTGCTCTATCTCCAGCACTATACCCAGACACAGTATGCACGGTATGCACAGAAAACTTACTTTCAGCAGTGCAAGGGAAGAGATATAAACCTGTTCTGCTGTATCAACTGCAGGAGCATCTGTTGGTGGCCCCTATGAAAAGAATAAATAATTATTTTCTCCACCATTGTTATTCTGCAGTTTCAAAACATTTTCTTTTGTTTTCCATATTACAAAACTTACAGAAAAATGCATGTATAATTGTGACTTTATGGGTTAGATGTAGTTTTTACAAAGAGAACAAAAAAATGCACACCCAAACCCCAAACAGTTCTTTACAGCACCTTTCTTCACTAACATATTTTGTAAAAGGCCACCTAGCCATCATCTCATCTCCCCCACCCCAAAGAACACAGTCTAAAGAGCAATCTTAATCACAATCAGTCAAATATAAAACTGGCAAGTATTGCACTGGGTTCAAACGTGTTACAAGCCATTCAGGCTGAGTCAGATAAGTTTCCATTAGTCAGCCTTGCTGCAATGCAAACCTTCGTCAGCTGTAAAATATGGCCACTTCTCCAATTAACTATGTGTTTCTTACAGTGGTGTGAATGTAAATGCTGCTGGGCTAGCATGATTAACTGGCAGCAACACAAACAGCAATTTCCCTTTGCTTCATCAGCTTTCAGCTAAAGAGGACTTGCAGATAAAGGCTATGGGAGTACTTTGCAGATACATTGGTACAGTGAGAGAAAAAACGGACCTCTGATCCCTAGGTGGAAAAGCTGTGAACAAAATACTTTGCTCTTTGCCTTATGAGTAGTTATTCAAAAATTAGCACAACTGTCCCAGGTGTGAATGATTGGTTGAAACAGGTTCTGTGTACTGCTGAAAATGAAAAACACAGGAGGCAGCAGTTTAAACGTCCCTTTCTCAAGGAGCAAAAGAAATGCTGCTGCTCTTATATACAGAATTCCATATCAGCATACCTCATTACAGTCAATTAAGAGCACATTCATTAATTTATTATGAAATTGTGTACAACAAATTTCTGCTGAAAAGACACAGGTTACTTCTGCATGAAGTGATGTAAACTTTGAAAGGCAACAAAACAACACTAGGGAGTATGGTAAATAAAAAAGATACTCCACATTAAGCTAAAAGAGGGAAAATGGTGCTTTTAAACAAACATTTTCCAGATTTAGAACTTTGATTCCAGAGTTATAAGCAAAATTGGGGAAAAAAAGGAAAAGTTTCAAATAAATTCTAGATTTTTCCCTGTAAGAGGAAATTCAGTACAATGTGCATCCAGATGACATCAAACAGAAGAAAGCAATCAACACATGCCATTACCTCCTGAAGATAAAACCAGGTACTTAAGTAATCAAAATATTACATTTGTATAGTAATTGTCTTTTCTGCATACTTTCATTTTTTCATACACAGAAAAACGACATCTAGTCTTCAGAATACAGACAATAAAAAAATTCAGTCTGGGTTTTTTTCCCCCCAACGTCAACAAATACCTTCTCTATTAATTCCAGACCCAACCTTTATATTTTGAATTCAATCTTTGTATTTTGAAACTCACATACATGCATGGATCTGTGTCAACCATAACTGCTTCATAATAGCTTCAAACCTTTATTTCCAACTTGGATATTGCTGACCATCACCTCTTGATATGTGTTCTTCCTCACTTCTTACTACTCATTGCTAATTCCTCTGTCACTTTGGCCTTTTCAGCAATCTTCCAGCAGTTTTAACTTTTCACCTTCTACAGTATTCTCACCAAAGGTCTATTTTGCATCAACCCCACCCCTTCATCAAAGGCCTGGTATAGCCCCAGGCCAACAGTGAGATGCTCCAGTGGAGAAGTGCTGCTCTAGCACTCATGCTGAAAAACTCTATGAGCAGTTCCTCAGAATATTTCACAGAATCAGATGCACAGAGCATCTGAATCACTTATACCAAACTTTCTACAATTAAATTGTTTGACTGGCAAAGCTTCAAATGTCCAATAATTTTCTGATGCTGTTCCTATGTTTTTTCCTCCATAAGAATGTCAGATTACTTTTTTAACCATCTCTCTCCTGCTTTAAGTTTATTCTAATGACTCACTTTGAAACATCCACTTAGAATTCGGAAAGCACAAAGACTCAAGTTTCCACAATCACTGCTAAGAATAAAGCCCAGATAAACTGAGTTTTAATTTTAAAAGTAACTTTCTAGTTTGTTAACAACTCCTTTTTTCATACATAAAGCTCTCCCAATTTTCTACCGGTTCTAGACCAGAGATGGTTTGAAGTGAGAGTAAAAATACAAACTCAGTAACCTTCTGCTTTAGGAAGAACAATACTACCCATGCTGTGATCACCATACACATTCTACATTTGTTCCAGATTTTGTTCAACATTTCACTGTAAGCAACTATCCCATTACACCATTCAGTATTTTTTAAAATAGAGAATAGCATAATAGAAAAAATCTCCCAAACTAGCATAAGTAGTTTTATGATTTCTGGAAGGCTAATGTTGCTGTTTGACTGAGACTAGCTTCTCAAAAATCAGGAGCTTGAACTGAAGTTTACTCTACAGACTATGGTTCTTGAATAGGTTCTCCTCGATGGAATCTCTAGTGTGTGTTAAGATCACACTGACACCCATCTTGCAGCTGAGGCATTAATCATGTCTCTGTCCCCTATACAGATGCCTGTGTCACAACCTGTAAGAGCTTATTCTTTATAACTTTTCTGATTTTAAAATCAGTCAGGAGATTCACCGCTTACGGGGAGGAAACAAAGACAAACATTAATGCTTTTTGTTTCTGTAACATGGCAAATAAATCACCTTTAGTTTAAGTGAAGGTAGGAACTAAAGCAGGGTATAACCCTACTGTATTAATTCCTAATACTTCCTTATGATTTCTATATTCCTTGGAGCTTCCAAATGCTCATTTATCTTGGTGATGGTCCAGAAGAGGGACTTCATCAATTTCTGTATTCAAAATTTATGTTAGAAGTCCTCTTGCCAGTTGCCAGCACTGATAGTCAACTATTTATTTTCAGCATAGCAAATGTTGCTAATTCATAAAGGAATGCTTCATTGGTGTAAATCAACTTGCTTAGCTTTTGCTAGGTTGTTTTGTTTCTTTTTAAGCCATAGTATTCACTGAGAATGATTTTGCACACTAAATGTGTTTAAATATATATATATAAAGGACCACGTTAGGAGGTATCAATTGCAAACTTCACTGCTCCACTTTAAGCATGTGCCATGAAACAGTAAAAATATTAAAGATCAGCTTTCACTCTTATCATGCAGTTCAACCACTGTACCTAAACTCATAAAAATTAGTTAATGGTGGTATACAATGCAGGTTCATTAATTCTCAGTCATCTTATAAAAATACAGCACATACTCAGTATGTCCTTGGTCACTGATGTTTCTTTTGTGTAACCTCGCTATCTCCTTTCTGTCTGCTTTGTTCTCCTTCTAGATTTTAATTACTAGCTAAATTATGGGAAAAGGAAACTCATCATTGCACCGCACCAATTATGTGTATTAATTTTCATGTTAATATTCCTTCCTTTGTTTTGAATACAGATTAGAATGAACTGCTCAAAAGAATACTGAAATTCAGGAATTTTGAGGAATTTGAGGAAGAAGTAATCCATAGGTCAAGTTTCACATTATTTTTCTACCAAAGATAAACTGTCACATAAAATATTATAATTACGCATTTGTACTTCCACAGAAAATGATAAAGGCAAAGTTCATCGAATTCTTAACATAAAACCTTTAAAGATTCAATAAATAAAACCAACAGAATAGATCCTGGGTCTTCCAGGTAGTTTACTTTACTTTAAATGACACTATTTGAAAAAACAGATATTTGGAAACTGGAACCAATTTACTTCCATCTCGGATCACCTTCCTTTCCACAAATGGCTGACAATCTAACATAGCCCTGGAATGACAGCCCAAGCTTCTGCATGTTAGTTACACAGTATGTGGGAGCTAGCTATGAGTTATATGTTTTGAGACCTCTTTGGCCTATTTCTGCTAGTCTTTCACAGAAGTTTATGCATTTCTTTCATCAAGAAAAGAGGAAGAAAGACTTTATTAGCTAATCTCTACATGGAGGCAAGTATTTTACACTGACCCTCCACAGCATGTGCTACCACTGTTCATAAACTTCACTGCCTGCCAACTTTAACAAAGAAGCACCATCCTTATGAAGCAGAGTACCAAATTAAATTAACTGGTGTCAGGAACCCAAACAAGAAAGCATTTGTATCTACAATGCAAAAGATCGGCTGGTATTTTTGGTTACATTATGGTATTCAAAAGACAGACAAGTTACCCCACTAGCACAGTTTTGGAAGACTGTCCATCTCACTGCAAAACAGCAAATGCAGGTTTATTGGATTATTTCTCAGGGAACTGGAGAAAAATCAGATTTGGAAACTGCAAGGAATATTGAACATTCTTTTTCCCAAGCATGCCTATATAAGCCGGGTATAGTAATTATTAAAATTAAAAAACTGCTTTTAAAAAATACTGTTATGTGCTACTTACTGAAAATGGATGTTTATTCTGAATCAACTATACATGCTGTCAGCCAGTGAAATGAGCTGCCTGATGGCCAGCCATCTCATAAAACCCAACCAAACTCTGGGTTTGTTTTTGTTTAGAATGGCAGAATCCCAAGTTCAATAATAATTGATAAAATTAAGTTAGCACTATTCAAATACATTTTTACTTTTTTTTTTTAGTACAACTTGTAATGGAAAAAGAATCACATGCAAGTTATGAACAGAAAATTAAACTGTAATATAAATTATGCATGATACTATTTTTGCTTCAAACAGTTAAAGAAACGATCCAATATAAAAAGCAGCCCTTTACTTGGGCAGCCCTTGTTGACTAAGTGTTAAAGGCATTTGCCATTCTAACAGGATAAAAACTAACGCCTTGAAGTGTTATCTACTCAGGCCTTTTAGCAAATTTGTTAACACTTTTAGGTATATTACTTCACCTTTCTCTTAGTGTGAACTGATATCAATTATTTAGCCAATTTTATTATTAAATGTGAACTGAAGTGTCACTTTAGAGCACTGCTCTTTATTTGTACTATTTTACATTTATTCA